GCTAAATGAAATTTTTAAAAATTCGAATGTTTAAAATTCAATTTGTTAGGAACTATTCTACCGACTTAGCTAGATTTTTGTATTTTCACATGTTAAATTACATACTTTAGAATTACGTAAAAAATTGCATACTTTACAATTCAGAATTTTTTCGTCTAGTTTTAAATAAAATAAAAAAATATATAATAAATATTTAATGAAATTTTAATTTTTATACTATTGAGATTTGGCGAAATATACAAGAAGTAAAATTAACATTAAGGGGTTCAAACTTTGAATCGATCTCCTAACCAAACTGTGGGAACTATAAAATAAAAAAATAAAATAAAAAAATAAAATAAAAATAAAATAAAATAAAAAAATATATAATAAATATTTAATGAAATTTCAATTTTTATACTATTGAGATTTGGCGAAATGTACAAGAAGTAAAATTAACATTAAGGGGTTCAAACTTTGAATCGATCTCCTAACCAAACTGTGGGAACTATATTTCCTAGATTATGGCTACCCCCTATATCTTGGGGGTCAGAAATCTGAATCCGTTAAAAAAAAGGTATGTTTATTCAGAGAAAGTACGTTTTTGTGCCTGATTTCGAAACTTGAAATATCGTCTGTACTAATTAATTAGCATATTTGAGGTCGCCTTCTCAAACCATTCAGAATGAGTCCTAGAACGTGAAGATCCGATCATTAGATCAAAAGTTATTCAGAGCGGCCTGGTTTTTTTTTCTTGCACACTGCACGTGTGTTTGGATATTTGTTTCTGCTTACAATGTTCTGTAGAAAGTGTAAAAATCTATACTGATATAATCAATTATATTTTAAAAAATAAGGCTTGGAGAATTATATAAGGATTTTTACTGCAAATTTTGAAAACGTTGTAACATATGCAAAAAATGGCATGATTGGTTCCCTTAAAAAAAAAACGGAAAATTACTATTTCTTTTCAAAACCATTTTCAAAAACCATTATTAAAACTATTTTCTTCTTGGAGCACTGAACACTAACTTATAGCGTTATTTATCTGGTAAGTATATATTAAAGGAACACCTGTGTTTCATGTTCCATCTGCTCTAAGGGTTAGGCTCAAAATATTACAATTTTGTGGCAGCGTCAAACAAATATTTCGGACAAAATTCGATGATACGTTCTGGGTAGTTAGCCTAAAATGAGATTTTATTTAAAGAAATAAGTAATTTAGTAAGAACAATATAGACAAGCAATGAAAAAAAATTCCAAAAATATTAAAATTTCCATATTTTTTCTCGCTCTGTGCATTTTTGCACGAAAAACTTTTTAAAGCAATCTAAAGGATATTTTAGCAATTTAGTTATTCACATATGCAGTGTAAAGATTGAGAAGCGATAACATAAATCCATTACTTGTTTTAAGCCTAACTACTCTACGATCAACTAACTACAAATCACTTTATGATTAATTAATCAAATGGAATTTATTTTCTGATCACCCCCTTACGTAACAGCCATGCATCAATCTGAAGCACAAATGTGGAGTGCAATTACAAAAAATTACGAGGAAAACTCGAACTTCTTTATTGCTCAAATAACGGAAGCTGTTTTACTAGCTTTAACAATCCCAATTTCACTTTTTTTTACTGTTTTAGATTAGTACTTAACGAAAGGAAGTATATGAACTATCTTAACATAAAATTCCGATACTTTCCCAACAGCTATCTATTATTTCTTAAAATAACTCTCAACCCTTGACATTACATTTTTCCTTACTCGAAAACTGAAAAATGTGAAAATCATGGCAGCTGTAATCAATGAAATATTTTCAGTTCTTTTAGTTTTTCGTTCCGAAAGAAGCGACTTTCCCCTGGGAAGGTACAACGGGCTTTTAGTTAACCATTAGTTAAATGAAGAGTTGGGCGAGGCGAGTTGAGCTGCTTTTATCTGTTTCTTTCAAAAAAGAAATATGCAAACAAACATGTATATAGGGTGTGGTGTCGTAATACCATTCGAATTTATTTTAAAACAAACGAATCTGTTTCACTTGAATAAAAAGATAGTTTTCATGGAATATAGAGGGCACAGGGACATCTTTTATGTTACCATGGGATGGGATATGCACAAAGTTGGCGAACAATGTATAGGATAATAACGAACCCTTGAACCAGTTGTACTGTAAATAACCGAGCATTTGAAAAATAAATTATCAAAATCAGTATGTGTACCCTGCTCTCTGTTTAGGAAATCAGATGTTTGATTCTTATTAAGTTTCAGGATTAGTTACGGAGTTTGTCAACAGATGACACTATTGAATACGAAAAACTTAAAACAAACGAATCTGTTTTTCGGGAATAAAAATACAGTTTTCATGAAATATAGGAAGCACGGGGACATTATTTTTATTACCACCGCATTTACCCAAAGTTTGCAAACATGGCACATAGCAACCTGAATTTTTGAAAAGACTATACCAAAAATGATCGAACAATTAAAAAATAAATTTGGGGGAAGAAAGAGAAGTGTCTGCTCAGGAAATAAAAGATTTGTTTTTCCTAGAAGTCCTAAAATTAGTAATAATACTCAGCAACAGATGACACTCTCGACTACGTCAAGCTTTAAAAGAGTATTTCCAAAATAACTACCATTTGCAGCAACGACGACGCTATCTGGGGGAAATTAATAAGCTCATGTTAGTTTGTTTCCTAGTTTTCAAGGACAAAAGTGCCATCTTTTGACAAACTTTGTAACTAATTTCAAAACTTTTTGAGAATACATTTTCTGGTTTCCTGAGCATAATGCAGCATGATTTCAATTTCCTTTATCTATTATTGATTATTTTTTAAATTGAAACACAGGAACATAGAACCAATACATAGGCATCCATTATTTACAGCACTGGAGTTTTATTAACAATGAGAATTAGATTAAACTTTAAATTACAGATTCCATGGATAATTTTATTTTATTTTAATAATCAAGAACATATTGGGTAAATTTATTTAGGAAATAAAATAAATAATTTATTCGAAAAAATAAGTTCCTTGAATAAATGACAAACCAATAAAAGTTTGTAAATGAAAATAATAACTGAAATTGTTATCTGTAAATAATAATATTTCTTTATTTTTAATTATTTATTCATTAATCATAATTATTAAAAAATATTAATTGCATACTTACACGTATAAACTGCATCTATGTATTTGGAATGGTTCGCGTTTCAGTTTATTAAGTGTTCATTCTTCTTTCTTTACTATGCTAATTTTAGTATTGCATTTAGAATAATTTGCGTTTCAATTTATTAATTGTTAATTTTCTTTCTTTTGCATTGCTAATTTTCGTATTGCGTTTAGAATGGTTCACGTTTCAATTCATTAATTGTTAATTTTTCTATTTTTGTATTACTAATTTGAGTATATTGTTTCTGAATATAAAACTTACGCATAGCTATGATTTACATTAATCAATGTAAAATACAAATGAATTTAATTTCACTTTTGTTTTTTTTAAATAAAAAGAAATATTTTCTTTAGAAACTAATGCACCCTCCATAATATTAAATGAAATATCTATTCCACAAACTCGAAAAATACCATTTACTTAGTATAATTAGTATTAATATTATAACACGCTTTAAACAGTCAATTCCTTAAGGGTTTGCAGCTACCAATGTTCGATTCTGTATCCTTGAATTCTAGAATCTAACCCAAAAGACTTGAGAACTCTTGAATCAACTCTTGAAAAACTCACCTTCATAGAAGACTGTTCGAGTGAAGTTAGTCCGTATTTGTTCTAGATGTAGAATAAAATTACAAAAATCTCTCACGGTTTGCTTGGGAAAAATTGTTCCAACCCATAACCCGCCTTTCACTATATTCACTTTTGAATGTTAACTTTTATATTACATTTTGTTTGTTTCGCAAAATCTTTAAGACTTGGAATTAGGAACTTCTGTAGAAGAATGTATGGAACGATGGAATTAAGAAAAACATAACATTCTATAGTTAGCTTAAAAATTATTAAATGCTGAAATTGTAGTAAAAAATAACGTGTGGGCCAATCTACAAATCACAGTAACTACAAAGCTGAAATTTAACATGCCGTTTTTGAGTCCATTTTGCTTATAGACTTAACATGATTTTTTTCGAAATTCCAATTTGTTTGAAACATGTTGCAATTTTAAATACTTTTTTGTGAATTTTTTTCTTTTTATTATATTCTGTTTTTCCTTAGAAGCTTGAAATTACGAAGGTCTGTAGGAAAACGTACAAAAAGTACAATGGAATGAAACAAAATTAATATTCGATTAATAGTTTGAGAATTATCAACTACTGAAATCGTAGGTAAAAAATAACATTGGGGATAATCTACAGTCATTTGTTATACAGCTTAAAAGTTGAAATTTAAAGTGATGCAAAAGCCATTTTCATTTAAGAATTTAATGCCAGTTGTTTTCTTCGGAATTCTAATTTGTAAGAAAGTTATTGCAATTCTAAATATTTTATTCACGATATTTTTTTTAAAAAAGAAGATTATTTACCTATTGTTTTTCGTTCCTGCTTGACTTAATGTAAAAAGTATCGACAAAAAATGGATGATTAAAGTGAAAGAGAATGGATAATTAATTAAAAGAGAGAACATTCTGTCCTCTAGTACGGATATCGCACAAGAGGTGAAACAGTTATGTGACGTCGATGTTTAAAGGCATCTGAATAGAACAGACGAAACTTTTATCGCCGAATCACGAAATGAGATTTTGTTTATATTATTGTTTAGTTGCATAAGAAAAAATTCTGAAAATAATGATGTTTTTTTTTATTCTCACACCTGTTTCTTTCAAGCATACAAGTAGAAAGATTGATTATTTCTTAGAGTTTTTTCATCTTATTTTTATTAAATATTGCCTGGTCATTTCTTTTTGCAACTTGTATTTGTTCCGTTTAGTTTAAAATTGCTTTTCACTAGGCATCATTTCGTCATTTTTTTTAGGTTTTAAGTCATTATGTTTGAATGCAGCATAAAATGCTTCAACCTAAAATGGGCTGTGCATCCGAGAGGTTGCTCTAAGAGTTCGAAAAGGAAAAAAAATTTTAATGCTTGTTCTAAATTTTGAAACTAAAATAAATAAGAATAAATTAAAATATTTTACACGTTAATCAACCTTATAGAATGTGACATTTTTTTGTTGTTCTCTGCTAAAAAGGACAAAGAGAAATAAATACGAAAAAAATTTGGAATTGGTATTGAGCGTTCAATGGTATGTTGAATTTTTACATTCAATTCTTCCTTATAGTTATAAATGTTAAAAATTAGTTCTTTTTCAATATTTAATTTTATGAATAAATAATTAGATTCTTATCAGTTATAGGCACCATGTGTTGGCGACTATTTTTCCAAGTTGTCGCCAACACAAATATGGGTCCGTATAATCGATAAGTAGAATGAGATTTAATATTACGATTTATTATCAAAAATATCGATACTTAACAACGTCTCACGGTATTTTTCCAATTGAACTATTTAAAATTATTTTTATATTAGTCAATACATTTCGTTATGGAAATAAAACTTTTCGGTACTCACAATAATACAGTATTCAATACCTATCATTAATGCATAATATTCGCAATAGTATTATGTTTTTGATATGCTATATTATACTGATCGAGATGTAATTTTATTCCATATGCATTTGTATAGTAATTGCGATATTCTTGTATTTGAAAGACCTATGTGCATTATCAGTTGCATATTTCCTGTGTAAACCCGAATTTGGCGTTGTCCCTACATGCTGGCGAACTTATCACATTGGTTTTTACCGATAAGTATAATGCAATAATTCTTTCCATTTTATTTTCCTTTTTTAGCAATTTGTTTATAAATTTATATTTAATTCATAGAGGCCTTTACCTTTTAAGATATGATTCACGACCGTACAGTACAAGCTTTTGTTTTGTTCAAAATTAAGTAACGAAAATCTAATTTCATTTATTTGATGAATTTTTTTTTCTACATAGAATAAAAATAGTACTTCGTTAGTCTTTTAAATAAGATGCATCATCTTGGCGCTGTTCATTTTGCTATGAACTGACTCTGTTCATACGAAAAATATTCTTTTCTTAATTTCCAACAAAGCATAAACCATTTTTTTTTACGATAATCTCTGTGTGGAACGTAGAAAAGAGAAATAAATGTTAAAAAATATTCTTTTTTTTTTGTCTCCACTTGTACAGAAGTTTTTATATGGCCGTAGCTGTCCAGTGGTTAGAGTATAGGACTCCGGTCCGGAGGGGGAAAATTTCCCTCCCCTTCAGATTCCTGTCTAAATTGAGGACGTGGACCCACGAATGAGTATTGCTGCCATCTTTAAGTGGGTTTTTAGTTAAGAGCGATGCTCGTCACCCTTGCGATGCTCTTCAGTCAAACGAAAGGTGCATCTTCCTCACTTGCAAAAGGTCAATGACTGGTGAGCTTGGCATGTTTAAGTGTTATACGAAACAACAACAAGTTTTTTATAGAGAAGAATATGCAACATGACCGATCAATATTTTTGGAGCCAATTCTGTGTGGGACAATGTTAATTTCCATTCCAAAGATCTCGGAAAGTTGTGATGCAATTTTCGTGAGATTTTGTTTTACTTGATATATATATATATATATA